TATTTACATATATGTTCCCCGAGGCAGTTACTATCGACGTTCTGCCTTATGCACAGGCCTACCCCCCTTTCTCCCGAGCAACAGCCCCCAGCAACCCTCAATATTCAAATTTCCCATTGAATTTCTCTATTCACTCAAATGCTATTGAATATTCCTCTTGGCCAATGCATCAAATTCCGAAATATATTTAAAGCGGCTTATTTTCGCCCAAAGTGATTCATATTTTCTACCACCTCAACAGTTTCCTGACTCCGTCTTGACACAACACGAGCCGAATCGCAGAGAAACCAACTCTCGACTGTACAGAATCATACAGCAATTTCGTAAAGGTGAGATTTATTCTTCTTCTTTCTCCAAGGTCTTCCTACCATAGCCCTTCCCACACCTTATTTATTTCGCAACCAGCTATCGCCGCCTGCCTGCCTGCCGGTACTTGCACCTGCGCTGGTTCCCACCTCACATCAATCAATGATACATAGGGCTCCCAGCGCTGACATAAATTTACCTTGATAGAAATACTACTCAACGCCTACTCGCTCTTCGACTTCTACAGCTTCGTCCTGCCACGAGCATCTCGACTACCCAACACCCTTTCTATACCAGTAAGTATTGCCATTACTGCTCTTTAGATACTACTACCTCACCGCGCAATCGCGCACTCTCTCTTCTTCTCTTCTGCCTTTACACCTTTCCCACCGCGCACTTTCACGTCTCGCAACTCTTCTACACGTTCTGCTTCACCTCATTCTTCTCTTCGCATCAACCACTGCGAATATTACTTCGTCTCGTGTCTCTGCCTCGTTATATATCTAGCCTCAGACACTTTCGCACGTTGCCCTACTGCTATCGCAGCTCCCCCTACTCCCTATATATATCTTGCCAACCCCGAATACTCGTCTTCTTTTGACTCTTTATTATTACCTTCATTAGGTAACCATCTTTTCTCCTTTCTTTACTAACTTCGATCTTGTTTCTCTAGAAACTTCTTTTACGTACAACATCGAAAATGGCACCGCAGCGTCCTGACAAGCCGGGCAAGGACAATGACAAGTCCAAGCCCACAACTGGCCAGAAGCCCACCGGGGTGACCAAGCGCTCGGGACCGCGCAGCACGGGGCGCGGCGCCCGAGACACCTCGATCAAGCCGCCGGCTGTCAAGGGTGCCGAAGGGGTTGTCCTGGACAACGGCAGATACCAATGCCGTCTCCTCACCGACCAGGGAAACATATGCGGAGGAACGATGAAGTGCGCAAAGCATGACATCTCTTCGCATATGTCAACGAAGCATAGGGCCAACTCGGCTTACAAGAAGAACTTGGAAAAGACTGAGCGGTGGCCATGCCCTTACAAGGCTTGCCGGGGGCGGGATCTCTCGTCTTGGTCCTCTCTAAGAGGTCACGTCTCAACTGCCCATGGGTATAAGGGCAAAACTCATACCCTGAGAACGGAATCCGTGTACTTCCGAGAAAACGGATACGACGAGGGGCTGGCCTGGGATATCCAGCCAGATGTTAGCCACCAGGAGCGGGGTGAAGGGATGGGGGTCCGGAAACAGGACCCAATAGAAGAAGAGGAGGAGGTAGAGGAGCAGGAGCAGGAGGGAAGCAACGAGAGTGACGAGGATAGTGAACCGTTCGATCCTCCGGATAGACCAAGCCGGGATCACGGCTTCGACCGTCGCGATCCCCCGGGTGGAGGAGCCGGAGTGGCTGTCTCTTAAGAGGCAGTCACCACCATACGGAAGACCTGACCCTTCCTAGGGCCGTCTAGGAAAGGGTCGCGCAGCTCTATAAGGGAGTTGCTATCGCTCTACCCTGCCTGCCATATCTCGTCTTGTAAATCAAGATTACGAGATCTACATGACAAGAGGCGTTTGAGGCGTGGCCCTGCCGGGCACTGACCTTGAACCATATAGCAAAGAGTTGCCAGTGTTGGGAATAGAGTCAATGACTTCTTTTTATTTATCGTACGATCGTACAAAAGTAATACCAACACTGATCAGTAATGACCCTTGGTCTCTCTTGTACACAGTGTTACCATCAGTTTCTGACAATAAATTTATAAATGTCCTTCCTCACCAGTGCAATCGTGTTCCCCATGAAAAGTGATGAAATATGCGTAACTCTAGCTACGTCTGAGGACGACGGCTGTAATGAAAGTAATGACAATAATAACAGAGGTAAAAATAACGTGATGACTGTTGTAGTGATGTCGAGAGCGATAACGATCATGACCACGAAGACGATGCTTAAAAAACGACAGCGATAAAACCTTGTAGCTTTAACTATGACATCCCGTTGGTCTTGGTGTCTGACTAGTATGTTTATAATGGCGATGGTGCCAGTCATCTTACTATGGAATTACCTGGTTCATTTAACTGAGAACGTTGAGTACCGATAACGAGTATACAATGTCTCAACCATAGGGCTCACTTAGGTAGGTAGTTAAAAATGTATCTATTCTCGTCATTTACAAAGGTGTCAAGAGGAAGAAAAGAAATTATGTTAAGGTGCTTGATTACGATACTATCTACCTACGTGTGTGACTTTCATTAATTCATAGCAAAGTCAGCTCAAAACTCCCCGGACCATAGTACTGAGCGATGCTGTCAGTAAGAGCCTCTTGTAATACACTGATGGGTGTGTAGAACACAAGATCCTGAACAGCGAGCCCCGTCTCATGGAACGGGATGCCGCCGCGCGGTGGAGGATTCTCACACAGGGCCTTCAGCGTAGCCATGCCATCGTGGGCTTTCTCCGGCTGATCCATGCCACCCCAGATCATGCCGAGGCTTTCCTTGTTGTGCATATCGTACACAAGCGCGCCTGCTTCACCCGGTTTGGCGAAGCGGTAGGGAGAGTCGGGGAGAATCGCGCGCTCCCAAGTCTCGGTGCGCAGAGTGTCATCCTCGTATACTCTTGTGAGGATTCGCGGAGCGTGCTGGCGTCCTACAGTCGGGCCGGTAATGCGGCCATTTTTGCAGACCCAACCGCTGGTTCCTTCTTTACAGGAGTCGAGATTCGATTGTATTTTATCCAATAGCTGCTTGCACGGGACCTGTGATATCAGAGTTAGATTCTTGGGATACAACTAGATGATTGATCGAATGGGTATGAATGGCTAACATACATTGGTCAATCCATCAATTCGGGGAAGCTTGATCTCGATGCTGGCCATGTCGAGGCGGCATCTCTCTCCGGGAGTCTTGGTGGGCCATGTGGTGTCTTTGCCGGTGATATGGGACAAATAACCAAGACGCCAATGAACTATATTGAAAAGCGACGAAGGCAGTAGAAAATCTTTCCTTTCCGTGTCAAAGCTAGAATGTGGAAAGGAGGACCTTGCCCGTGCTTCTAGGTATGCATCGCGATCCTTGGCAGAAGGGCTCAGGATTTCGACGTTCTTGTAGTTGAAGAACGGGTCCATTTTAGCTGCACCTGGACGCAACAAATATCAGCATCAGGCAAATGTAGAAGGACTTAAATTCAAGCGCTTACCCGGTGCTACAGCATGGGAACAGGTGATACCTAGATGTTTGACTTCGCCGTCGTTGAGTGTCTTGAACATAAAGACAGGACCAAGTGACCCAGAAGCCGTCCCATCTTGAGGGCCAACGCTACTACCAGGTGCGGGAGCGTCGCCGTAATAGTTGTCGTAAGCAAAGCCTCGGTTGACCTCCGACTCCTGCGTGTAGAGACTAGTCTCGGCTTCCAGAACTTCAACGGCCATTGAGTTGAGATAGCTGCCACTGCGAGCTCAAGTCAGCAAGCCAAATGAAAGCAACGTGAAGCTTTAGTACATACCTGTTTAGAACCTCGCATAGTTTGCTGATAACCATCCGAGCTTGCTCCTTAGAGACTGAGCCGGGCTTTACAGCTAGTACCAACGTCAAGGCCTTGTGCTCCTCCTTGGGATCAATCTTTACTGAGTAGGCAAAGAAAGGACCAAGCATGGTAAACTTGATCTCCATCCGATGAAGGGTCTCTACCAACTTAGAGCGCACGCGTTCCGTATCCAACTCCTAGGCAAGAACGAAAGCGTGGTCACAGCTGGCAGGAATTGATAACATTCCTCGTTGACCATGAGCAGTGGTCCAACGACCTTGCTCTGAGGTCTTGGGGGCAGCATCAGATGCGATGCGCGAGGGATTTCGCTCAAATCGGGCCAAATATCCAGCAAGTGGGCCCTGGGGGATATGGATATCTATATTATATGCCATCTTGGATGGTAGAGTGTCTTGAGATTGATGCTGCGGAAGTGAAAATGAGGTACTTTATGTTAACGGCGATAGAGTTGGTAATGTGCTTTTCGCGACCAATAATGGATGTCAATCACGCTGAACGAAAAGTAACAATGGACGGTACGGATCTGAAAATTGCAGAAAAAGAAAAAAAACCTTGTCCTTGTACAGTGAATGGGGGGCAATTGAATGAGAGGTTAACCTACAGTGCGGCTGCTGAATGTTTGCGCTGCGAGGAAGAGGTAATCCCGGAACAAACGCTAAGCCCCTAATAATACCGCCAATCACAATTCACAAGTTCGTCTGGGCTTAGCGCTGTTGCCCCTTTAACCGCGCTGTAAACCCCCGAACGATAACTGCTATCAATCAGAATACAGTACAAACATATAAATATGCACCGTGCTGGATTAGGAGGTGCGAACAGACTTCAGCGCAATTGGAAAAGACATAGTAATCCCTCAGGTACCTACATAGGCATCTATATTCCCTCCTAGATGACGGCGGCGCTTTGTTTAAGGTTATTATTTTCATATGCTTTTGGTGTATTTTTATTCAAGCTTCGTGCGAAAGATTTGCAGGTACATAAGCGTATCGCTACCTACGGCACTTGGATTCAATCTACTTATGCCCCAAGTTTTAATCACAGCAAAAATCTACTCGTGTTCGGGACTAGATTATCGCTTTAGGTGGGTTGAAGCCTACTAGGTACATGCCCTAATGAAAATTTTTTTTCATGAAAAATTAAACCCGAAATAATTGATAGCTCTGCTCCGTTTCGATCGGAGGACCTCCGGGTTATGAGCCCGGCGCGCTTCCACTGCGCCACAGAGCTTTAGTATTCACACGGATTGAAGTAGGTTGTGGATTCGGCAGTAATAATCCTCTAAATAAAGACGTTCAGTTTGAAGAAAACAAATGTTGATTTCACGAACTTCACTAAATCTTCACCACTAAAGAAGTAATAGCTGAAAACCATACCTACCTATTCAATGATACCTGAATAAGAAGAGATGGGTCAAGTTATTCCTGGAAGATCCGCATCAGGAAACTAGCAGTACCCTGGTGACAAACGGATTTTCCTAATTTTAGTCCTATCTGCCTTCGCGACAGGTGTATTCCTTACTGGGTGACAAAGACAATAGCTCCATTGATTGTGACGATGCGTTTGCCTTGACACAAACGCATCGTATTCCAAGTAACTAGTTGTTCGTGAATATATTTGGGTGCTTTCAGACTGATGAACAGAAACATGTTACGTGAATCAGAACAATACCCTTTCAACTAAGCACTGAGGCATTCTTCGACTAAACAAGGAACACTCACACGATGATACAATGCCTGGTGAATTGTAATACTGCGTGAGTTTCAATTCACTACGGACATCTCAAAATATATATAAAGATGGTAGCCTGCTCCTTCTCCATCCATGTTAAACTCATCACTGACAACCACTGCGAATCAACAGATCCAGAAGTCAAAAAAGTCCACCGGCTCGCTCACCAGTAGCTTTTTACTTTGTTTTCTGTCGATTCAAGTACAACCATTTACAACCCACACCTTTAAGCTAATACCCAAACCATCACCATGGGTTGCCCCGTCTGCGCAGTAGTCGCCATCTACACCCACATGCCCTGTGGCCATCAGATCCCACAGTTCTACCGCAAGGCGAGACTCTGTCTGTTCCGGCCCCACACCGAGACCGACTACCACCAGGTCGCCACCATCTACCTGACGCACGACAAGCGGTGCGCCGAGTGCGAGTACAAGGCCAAGTCGATCGAGCTGGGCCTGAAGGGACAGAAGAAGTACGAGTACGTCCAGAAGAGGCTCGCCAATTCCTTCGAGGCCCTCTACAGGCAGAAGGCGGAGAAGTACATGGCCGCCGCGACCAAGAGCCAGAAGGGCCCATTCAGCGCCGCCCAGGTCGAGGCCCTGAACCGCACCGTCCGCCAGCAGATCCAGTTCTACCTGGGCCAGGAGGGCGCCCACGCGTTGGGGGACACCGACAAGCTCCACCTTCTGCAGGCCGTTCTCCAGCTCCAGCAGGATGTCTTCGACCGCAAGGAGCTGGTCAAGTTCTTCGGGTCGCACGCCGCTTACGACCAGAAGACCAAGCTGCGGAGACGTCTGGAGCCCAAGCTTAGGACTATGCTTACCACGGCTGCTCGTCGCGGTGGTATGACCAAGGCTTTCGACGATGGGCTGAAGTTTGGTCAGCCTATGGAGGTCCCGGGAGTTGCTGAGACTGGGGAGAAGTCGGAGTAGGGGGTGGTACACACGGGATTGGAAAGGTTGGGGGGTTGCTTCGGGGTGCCTGTGACATCGCCTTGGGAGCTGGTTATTAAATTGCGATAATGATATCCTAATAGACCGACTTGCTTTAATTATCGTATGGTGTAAACAGTTGTGAAGACTTAGTTTTGATTTGACCCGCCTATTGTGACATGATATCCCATCCATAAAAGTGGCTAAGACTAAATTGAACCCGAGATGATTACTTGTCTACCTACTTAATATTCAAAAATATTTGCGTAGCATAATTCAAGCTTCCTTCTCTAATCCAACTCTGAAGGTTCTAAGATCCACACTCTGCGCGGACCCATCTTCACCAAGCGAGAAAACAAACTCGTCTATGGATCGGAATCCGTAAGTGAGTCTGTCCATCGAGCCCCAAGTATGGCAACTCGCGTCCGACCAGAACGAGTTGGCGTCCTTCTCGGCAGATTTCTCTGGGCCTCCAATGTCGAAGACAGCGCGCCACGAAGTGCGATTATTCGAAGCAAGATTCGTGGGATATAAGCGCACAGATACTTCCTGGTCCTTGGGACTGCTTGATAACGCAGCGAAGTTTCCGTAGTTCCGAATGATGTCAACACCGTGGACAACCCAGTTTGATACAGCGAAGCCAGGCGCATTATCGAGTGAGAGTGTGATGGTCGAATTGGTCGTGGCGTCTGCATAGGTGCCGCCGAATTTTGGCAGGACCTCAGATTTTCCCGCTTCTTCTATTGCAGGAAGCAGGCCTTGCACAACCTTCGAGAGAGCCAATTCAACTAAATCGGAATTTGACTGCGGTCCACCGGAGAGGATCGTGATGACAAGATCATAATCTGGCACCAGACAAAGGATGTTATTGTAACTGTTTAGGTTTCCAGATTTGCAGTAGAATTCGATGAGACGCTTGTCTTTCGTGACGGTGTTGGATCGAAGGATCTCCCAAGGCCCTCCGATAAGAAGACCGGAGGACGAGGTTGACGACACTGGCTTCACCCATTTCCTCGTCTTGGCTGCTTCTAGCACAGTATGCTTGAGGATTCCTGTACCGAAAGAAAGAAGGTCGGCCGTATTGGAATAGAAGCCACCGGCTCTATTCTAGGTAAGCTGAAGTCAGTATATGAATGATGCCGCAACTCACATGTCTTCGTATCCTAAGGTACTACCCCACCACGTCTCATTAACCGGAATGAAACCCCATGAATCCATATCTGGACCATTGAATATGGTTGTATTTGTCATGGATAAAGGCGTAAGGATGGATTGTTTGACGTAGTTATCATATGTCATATTGGTGATTGCTTCAACAGCGAAACCGAGAATAACGCTCGCGACATTGGAGTAGACTGGGTTCGTAAAAGATGCATAAACAGGATGACGCTTGCCGAAGTCCCTAAAGAACTCCGTCCTGTTACAAGGTGGGAGCCCAAGAACGCCTGCACACCCTGTTTTAGACGTGTTGTTCAGCTCTGGAAGCCCAAGTTGAGTCCAATCGGACGGAATACTGGCCAAATCATTGACGACTATAATGACAGTTCAGCGGGGAAAATAGCGTATGGAGAATGCGATATTAACCTACGGTCGGTGCCAATACCGCTCATGTGCGAAGCAAGTGCACCCAGGGTCACCTCGTTCCACCTAACAGTTGTAATGTCGTCAACCTCGTCGGTTTCCCCTTTGAGTTGGAGTAACTCGGGGACATATTGTGCCACTGGGTCATCCAACGTTACATGACTCTGCTGCAAAAGAGAGAGGACAGCAAAAATCTTCGATATACTTCCGAGTCGGTAGACCGTTTGTGAATCAATTGTTAAGGTTCCGTTAGGGTTCAAGATTGTTGGTGTATGATGGAACTCTACCAGCGGATCGTCTTCGTGTATCGATTTAACTGCTATTGAAATCCCAGTCGAATCCAAATCTGCAGCAAGGGTTTTAAATACAGTTGTCAGGTCATGCAATGTTGACTGGACCGATTCGTGTACCGAGGGGTTTGTTGGAGCTGGCAGGACTGGGCCTAAAGGAGGACAGTGGCCATCAAGAGCAGCTAAGGCGAAGTGACTAGCTGCCAAGACAGTCAGGATAGCGGATTTAGGGGTATGCTGAGAAACCATATTGCGTCTGGATGGCTAGGTGGCCGAGTTTAGGAATCGAAGCTGATGAATTGACACTGGATGAGAATAAGTAGGCGGAAGATACCCCTATATATCCTCTACGTAGATCTACATGCGCTTCATCTTGAATATTAGACACGATCTAGTCAGCAGATCGGGAGTGGCTCAAAAGTAAGCAATGGGACCGAATGCGAGCTGATTTTCTCGAGGCTATGGATTCTGAAATTGCCTGTTGCCTGGTATTGACCTGGCTCAGCCACTGCATTTCTATCTAACGGTCCATGATAGTTCTGTTGGACCATAGTTGTGTAGTTGATGAAGAGAGGAGGGAAGCTAAGAATGCTTGAACCGGGCATGCTGATTGGATAGGTCGGTCTTTAGACCCATTCTCAGCTGTAGCTACCATATTAAGAGCTTCGGACTTCGACTTCGCCCCATCGCCATTGCTAGGTTAGCGTAGTAGATGCATGGGATTCTCAGCCGTAGCACCAGGTAAGGCGGATAATCATATAATATTGGCGAAATTGAAGTTGCTCGTTACCTATACTGCTACAATATGGTTCTTTTCGTTTCTGTCATAACGATGGTGTGTGTTGTCATTTCTCCTTTAAGGTAGTAAGTATAGCGTTTGGTGAATTCTGAATGAGAAAGTGCCATGACACCAAGCTAAGTAAGCCTCTCATTGAGATAAATTCTGGTACAATGATCTACTTTCAGTAACGTATTATTGATTTATGTAGAGTAATTGAGGGGGCAATGAAAGTCCGTAGGTTAGGTATTCTATGTTTAAATGGGTGTTGAGGTTGAGAATTCGAACTTCAAAAATACAAGCAAGAGAAATGATCGAATAGGTAAGCCACAGTATAGAAATCAGCATTCAGTCTCATTAATACGGTGTTATGACGCACTTGCCTGCTAAAGCGCTGCCCTGCATACACCCGCAGGGCTGTCTATTTTTGGCCAGGGTTAGGTATCGGGTACCTAAGAGCTGACTACATTTTAGCCTATGGCTACACGTACTGTATGCATCCCGTCTGCAAGGCTACTGAAGCTAAACCAAATGTTCTGGACCCTGGCCGAAATTTCAATATCTTTCATCAATCTGAATCAATCCACTTGGCCTCTTTTATTCTCCTGTACTATGTATTAAATTCTATTGCCGATAACGAGTTGGCACATAATCGCTAGTCTGTTCATACTACATAGGTATTCAACATTTACCTCGGTTCCTTTGACTTTCATAATCTTGCTTTGTGCAGTCGGTTCAATTTGCGACGGCACCAGGTGTGACCACTGACCACGGAGACGATGGACTCATCCAAAACGACGTCATCTTCTTAATGTCGGAATTAACTATGAGGGATGCAAGTGTCGACAGCTCCGTCGATAACGACTATAATGACAAGCCACCGCGCTCAAAGAAGGAGGGTAGCGACGATAGGCTTGG